GGGAGCAAGTTTTCTCTTTGAATGGGATTTTCATCTTCAAGATGAGGACAAAATAGAACTAGCAGGGTTCATTTTTGGTCTTTGGGAGAATGGGTATACCACGTTTTATCTTATGACGGTAACCAAGAAGGGAAGAGTGATTTATAATCCTCAGTTGAACAAGACACATCTTAGTTACGTTGGGCGAGTGACTTGGGAAGGAAACATATCGAAGTCTTACTTGGCCTATGAATTGGTGAACCTGACTTTCTCCGATAGCAACACATACGGATGTCAAATTGACGTGGGAGGTTTCCGACGAACAATTCATTCTAAGATCACCTTAAACGTCCAGGTAAGATTCTGATGTAAAACTTAACGCGCATATGCGTGTATGTACGACTGGACCTTACCTGGTTAAGCCTTTAAGGCACTAGCGTACGTATATACACGACAAACCACTTGCCCCAAAAAACGACGGCTAATTTTTTCGTGGAAAGCTGGGATCACGTGACAAAATGATTATGGGATAACTTGTTCGTGGCAGCGGTATTCGGGGCAATTATTTTGCAATTTAGGGTCTAATTTACATTTTTTTCCCTTGACTTTTTATGTTAGTGTTTTAAGTGGCGATTTAAAAATTGCAGCGCGAAATCTTTCTGCCAAGGAGGTTTTGGAAATTGTACGCAAAATGTAGGCACAGTCTCCACACGGTTTTAACGCTTCTATCACCAAAGGTTCATATGTTTTAGAAAACTGTCTATTCAAATTCCCATGAAAAGTATTTGAAAAGCATGTGAAAAATACCATCCCCTAAGGATCCTCTTCCACCTACTTTGAAACTTGTTCTGGAAGCTTACATTGGTGTCAAACGTTATCTATGATGGAAAACAAATGCTCGAGAAGTTAGTACCGGTTCATGTACATTATTGGTTATGTTACTCAGCGTCACTGCTACTATGTCTGATGAGCTTGCATATCCCTTGGTCATTCCCTTAGCAAAATATTTTATACACTCAAAGACGTTAAGGTTGTAAAATGATCTTTTCCACTCAGCTCACTTTTAATAAAAATCTCGATTGTTTAGGTTCTGTTAGGTTAATAATAGCTCAGTCAAAGAAGGAAAGAGCTATCGTGCATATCGCGTTCCACGAGCACGAAAATGGGAGCAAAGAGAATACGTCAGAAGGTGATTCATGTCGTCTCGTCGCTGCTTTCCCCGAGCCGAATTTCTAAGAAGTTACCTTGGATCCGCACGTCGTTAGTTTATGTGCTCTAAAAGCTTTGCTTTTGTTTGTTTATTTTTTGCTTGTTGTTTTCTTCTGCAGAGGCCCTGATGAGAATTTCTCATGTGCATTTTTGTTGTCTTTTTTTTTCCATCTTTTACATCTTCTTCCGTTATTATGTTAGGTTTTAGCATATCAACCCATTAAGTAATAAAAGGATGATCCGTTTCTGTTTATTGTATGTCTTCTTGATACACTTTTGGATGCTTGATTATACACGAGAGGTAATACCTCTACTGAAGTATTGATATTAAACTTGTGGCAACCAAACTTGTTGCAACCAAACTGGTTGAAGTTTGTGACAAAGGAATGAAACGAATATAACGAGACTGGAATACTGGACCCAGTAAATAAGCTCAGCAAATACTCACAAGAAACCAGATTGATTTAATTTTCTTTTTCTTCTTTCACAGGCGATACATGCATCAAAAACAACTGAAGTGTGTGTCTCTTCCATATGGGACCATGCTCCCAATGCTACATCGAGAAAATTTGTTCCATCATTAAAAGCGGGTAAGTTCCTTTATTAACTGTGTGCTTCTTCGTTCTTGGGTATGATTTAGTTGTATCAGTTAAATTGGAAATTAACTTGACTACCATGAGGAGTTTTAGGGCAGAGAAACCCCTTTGCGGTAATCAAGTTACATTATCAATTCTTGTCGTTTTGGCTGTCGCTCGTTTTTTGTTTCATTATTTACCGATTTTTTTGCCAGCCTTATCTTAGTTATAACTTTGCATGATGTTGGGAAAATTAGACTAGTAACAGTGTAATCAGTCCTTTATGTACTGAGTGATTCTCTATTAGAGGAAAGATATTTAGTTTCCCTCCAAGACTAATTAGGGTTTGGTCCTCTCCCAGGAAGGGGTGGCTATTGTTTCCTGTCTTGTATCTTTGCTTCAGAAGCGTGAATTTGTTTTCGTCTACTTTCCAGGCATTCAAATAGTGATGTCATTCAAAATAATTCCCATCAAAATTTAACCGTAGAACTGTAGGACAAAAATTGTCTTTCAAATCGGAATTCTAAATCTCCACGGTATCAAGGAAAAATCTTGGGTTAAATTAAGAAACTCTTTGCGGTGGCCAAATTATATTTATATCTATATTATATATTATTAGTATGCAACCAAACTGTATTGCACTAACTGTTTGCCATGCAGGTGTCCCAGAAAATGCAACAGCGGGAAGTGTAACAACTTCGAATTCAAAAATCTTGGTATCACACGGTACGCTTTCTTGTATCATCTCTTAGTATGTTTGATATTTAGCGTCAAAGATGTGCCCCCCCGAAAGCTTAATGCAAATACCCAATCGTTTTAGTTTCCAAAAAATTCCGCTCGGTAAATTATGGCTATAGGAAGAAATAAAAATACAGTATGAACATCTATTGCCGCGTTTCTGAAAACGTCTCCTAAGCAAGGAAATTCAGACAGTCTCATTTTATTACGATTGGCATTAATCACAATCCTATATCCAATTTGCCGTTCTCAAAAACAGGCAATCTGTTCTCTCCCGCATGACGCTTTTCGTGCAAACGTGTTCGCTGTGCAAAGAGCACCTTCCATTACTTTGGGGGAATTTTATCATATTTAGAGTGACTCGATGTTGGAACAATCTCCCAGTTCTCACTACCTTCACCACAGAAATTTAAAGAAATTGTGTTCATTTATAATTACAGAGCGGTGTATTAAAAATTTTGGATTTACGCTCAATTTCGTTTCTCGTTGTACGTATTTGTTTTTTTCTAATTTTTTTTTAGGGAAAGCGGGCTCTGCGAAGTCAAAGTGGGAATTAGGGATTGAATGCTTACCTTACCTGTCAGTCCTTGCCATTCCACATTTCTTTGGGCCGTGACTTCCAAGCTCTGAAGGAGAACTGGAGTGAGTAATAAGTACTAGTTAAGACTAGTACTATGTGAGTGTTAGTTAAGATTTTCAACTTTCCCTTTTCGTTTCGATTTACCTGTCGTGATTTCCAAATTTCCAAATACGATGGTTCAAAATAATAAGTGTCTTTGTGGTATCCCATGAGATTTACCAACACTCTAAAATCAATGGGCATAAAAGTCTCATATGCAGGAAATGTAAATGTTTATTTTTCATTAGTATCTTTAATAGAAGAAGGCATGGCAATCTTCCAAGTTAAAACTTGTCATGATCATCTATTTACATGTTTATTCATTTTTCTGTTTGTTTATCTATCATTTATCGATTAATTCATCTTTTACGTATGTTTCGATAAAAAAACATAATTGCTATTATCCGTATAGCAAGTAATTTAGTGCTAAAAATATTGTTAAAAAAAGGTAGTAATATGACGATCGTAATACCAGTATTCCATGTAATTATTAGTTTTAGTATTGTTTTCAGTGTAAGCATTTTAGTCGAGCAAGTTTCTGTAAGCTGTGACGCGAATTTTGTGAGTAATGTCAGTATTGTACTTAATTGTTAGTAGTGCAAGTAATTGCAAGTAGAGTAAGCATTGTTATCTCCTCCAATAAAGTAAAAGTAAACGAAGAAACAAGCCAAATTGACAAAAGTTTGCTGATTGCTGATGAAATCCATTACTTCATTTACGATTGCCGATTTTCCACACACATTCCAGAAAACCAGAATCATGTTAACTCGACGTGACATCTCTATGATTATACACTCCTCAATCAGCAATTTGAAATAAAGGTATCTTGATGTAGGCTTCTTAGTAAATATGTTGCTCTGTCTATAACAATTTTTTCCTTTCACACTGATTAAAAAGAAAAAAGAACTTAAACTTTCAATATCTGTTGCAATGCCGGTGTTTGACCAACTTAGAATCAGAAACTAACCGATATTCCCGTGCATGCACCAACAACCATAACCAGCTTTGGAAACTCAACAGTGACAACACCCTCCGGCCCAAAGATGACACCTACAAATGCCCCTTCCTGATTGAACCTAGAAATAGTGATCTTTCCTCCGGCTTTTAAGTGTTGCCTAGCGATTCCAACTATCCTAACAAGAAGTTCAACTTTGAGTACCTGAGACAACAGATGCCGAGTGAGCCTATGTTGCACGCGTTCTTTACACTCGAGATGAAGAATGACGGTTTCACCTATGATGGTTGGCAAGGGCAGAATCTCTGCTTGGCCTACAGACCGACTGGGTGTTACACTGGACCGACATTTCAGGATTGGAGTCCACGATCATTTGCCGGTGCTCGTCTTAGTCCACCAAATGTGCACTGGTGTATCAGTGAGTTCGTTTCAACCTTTGAGTACGGATGGTTTAAGTTTGAGCCACTTTCAGAGTAAACCAAAGTTGTGCAATGGACCCTGCAATCGAAGAAATCTGAACGATGATATGCAAAGGAAAATTAGATACAATCTTTTATGCGGATTAAAAAGTATTTTTGTGATTAGAAAGCTGCATACCAGCTTAATCAAAATAAATATTATGCGCCGGTGTATCGTTGATTCATTTTTCTGAGTGGCAGAATGCAAATAGCTCTTAACAGCAATTCCAGTCACTTCTAGGAAGACATGCACTGATGTAACAAACAAACTTTTGACACCCTGTGCTTCTTCGGTTGATTATCTTCGATTCATTAAGAAGTATCTTACTTGCAAGTCATGCATACATAAAGAATCCAAATTTCCAGTAAATGTCACAAAAACCATGAACACCAGAAGTTTTGTGAAATGGAATCGTATTTCAACGAAAGAACCAGAATTTTACGGCATCAGAAAACCAGACCGCCAGCAGCAACGGATTATCCTTATCTTGATTTTGATTGGTCGATACCTAATTGACTTGTCAGTATCACCTCAAAAATTGTTAAGGGTTCTCAGAGTTTCATAATGCAGACTTTCCTTGCACAGCAGAAATAATGGCAATAATAATAATGATGATAACAGTGCAAATAACATTGATGATAATGATGACGATTACGATAATAATAATTTAAACTTACGAAAAATAAGTGTCTCGACAGCATCCTGCACAGTTGCCATCGCAACGACTCAAACAATGTGGTCACACTTTGGATCCATGAGGAACATTTCATCATCATTTTCCTGATCATCATCATCAATAGATTCTAAGAGGGAAAATTTTAATTTCCGTCATAAAAATGGCTTTACTTCTATTCTCTCGTCAGTCCTTCAAAAGAAGAACTATACTTATAATGAACCATATAACTGTTTTCTCCACCGAAAGATATTGTAAGCAAAGCGATAACCTGGCAACATACGTAAGGCCTCATCGCAAGGATAAGAAACAGCTGCTGCCCAGTCTATCGCTAAAAAAAATCATTATCCCTATAAGAATTCAGAGGAGTGTCCTCCTTCCCTCATGAGGCCACGTCTAGCAGTGACTTACCGTCCACGTTCATTCGGTGAAATGGAGATCGCGATGCCACAGACGCTATTAGGAGATTCAGGGTGACAAAGCAAACCATCTTCATGGTAAATTGAGGAGGCAAGTAGTTCAATAAGAAAATCTGTAAAAAAAAGGGATGAAAACTATAGGACGAAATGTTTTTTTTTTGGTTTCATGCACTCGAGCAAGGTATAGGGCAAAAATCGGAGTACACACAAGAAATCGAACCCCACACTCAAGGAATTCAGGTGATGGTCTTCCACTAAGCTAAAGCGAACTTTATAGTCAGTAAGGTCATTGCTAAGTTCCCACGTCAAATGTCTTGCATGCTGGCATTGTATGATCAGAGATAACTAGAGAAAAGTGTGCGCTAAGTTGATGATTAAAGAAATATGTTACTTGCTTTTGTCACGAGCCTGACAAAGAAAGAGTCCCCCGTCAAAATAAAAGTTTTTAAAGTCTAAACCCGATGGGAATCAAGCGTTAAATTTAATATCCTTCATCTGGGAATGGGAACAAATTTGGCCTTACAAATTATTGAACTACAAACTGAACTCAGAGAAAAACCGCTGATGGGCATCATGTGATATCTGAGAAAAGTTGACTATAAACGAAGCCGTGGATAAATCCTGATGAATCTGTTGGCAAGCCAAACATTACTTTGGGGCTTTTTAGTGCCGTTGTATTAAACGCACATACTAAAGGCTCTCGGCCGAAACCCTCGATATTTTTGTGACGTTGAAAGTGTCCTTAGGTTATTGAATTGCTACGTGTGACTTTTGCTTTGGCAGATATACTTGGTTATGAGTGATTTTTCACTCTCGTGCTCTCCCATGAGCAGAAAAAAAAGGAAAAATAATAGTTATAAGATAAACAAATTTCCTCTTTCCTGACGGCGTTTGTTGTGATCCTTTTCATGCCTCAAGAACAAAGATGCATCTCATTAACTTATCACTTAATCTCCATTGAGAATTTGTCCCTGATGTTAACGAAAATTTAAAGACGCACTCAACAAATATATTGAATAATTATTCAAGAGAGCATCTTTACAACCGTGAAAAAGACACTTCTTTTTATCTTTTAACAGAGAATGATATCTAGTATAAAGCCCTGCTTAAATCGGTACCGAAGTTTTTTGGCAACGATCGATTATAGAGCCACTTTCATACCTTTACTTGCATCCAATTGTACCGAATATGTTATTTCTCGTTCATCAAAGATCGCCACTTTAAAAGGGTGAGCTTCAATAGCCCAATATTCCATGGTTACTCCCCGTTTATTTAATGATCTAATTTTGAGTAATTCGTATTTATTTAATTTTTGACGAGGCGCAGCTTGGAGCGAAGACTCGTGATTTTGGTTTAACCGGGTCTCAAACATCAACTGCTAGGTTAAAAACCCAGGAAAATTTTAGTTTTTCAAGTCGGCCAACCCATAGAAGATCCAAAGAGGCCTTGCTTTAATACACCAATTCGAAAATATGTTACGTCTCTGAGTTTCCTCTTAAGGGAAAGGAGAGAGCGTTTCAATATATCATTCAAAAACTGTCTCGAGAAACCATTACGGCTGTTGCATGGGAAGAGACAAGTAGTCTCAGTTTGTTCCCGGCAAGGTGCAACTAGAAGATGAAGATGCCAAGTTTGAAATCAGCGTTAGTTCCGGAAATTTGGATAGTTTCCACGAAGAGAATAATCGCATGATGTTAGTAACTATTTCCTTTATTCCTGTGACCTTATGTTCGGAACTTTGTTTCAGATTACATTCAGGGTT